ACATTCACTTCCACAAGATTTTGAGTTTCAAATTTTCTCCCTATCTCACCCCTCCCCTACCCCAAGATGGCATGCATTCTGAGTACCCCTTCCCCATATCTGCCATCTCTTCTATCTCTTCCCCCCTTCTCTTATCTCCTCCCCTTTTTATTTTCCTATAGGGTAGGATAGATATCTATACCTCATTTCCTGCATTTCTTATTTTCCAGTTGCATGTGAAAATAATTTTTTTAAGATGTGTTTTTTTAAAATTTTGGGTTACAAATATTCTCTCTTCCTCCCTCCCCACCCAGCCTCATTAAAAAGGCAAGCAACTCGATACAGGTTATATATGTGTAGTTATGCAAAACACTTCCATAGTAGTTCTGTTGTGAAAAACTAAATGTATTTCCCTTCATCCTATCCCACCCCCCATTCATTCTATTCTCTCTTTTGACCCTGTCCCTCCTCAGAAGTGTTTGCTTTTGATTATCCCCTCCCCTAATCTCCCCTTCCCTCTGTCAAGCCCCTGCTCTCTTGTCCCCTTCCCCCCTTATTTTCCTGTAGAGTAAGATAGATTTCCATACCCCATGGTGTATGTTATTCCCTCCTTAAGCCAAATCCTATGAGAATAAGATTCACTCATTCCCTCTCACCTTCCCCCATTTCCCCTCCACTGTAAAAGCCTTTTCTTGTCTGTTTCAGGTGAGATATTTTACCTCATTCTACTTCTCCCTTTCTCCTTCTCCCAGTATAATCCTCTCTCCCCCCTTAATTTTATTTTTCAGCTTCCTTCCTCTTCAACTCACCCTGTGCCCTCTATCTATCTATACATACATATAATTTTTTCCCTCCCACTACCCTAATACTGACAAAAGACTCAAGAGTTACACATATCATCTTTCCCTGCAGGAATGTAAACAGTTCAACCTTAATAAGTCTCTTATGATTTCTCTTTCCTGTTTACCTCTTCCATGTTTCACTTGAGTCTTGCATTCGAGGGTCAAATTTTCTATTCAGCTCTGGTCTTTTCCAAAGGAATGCTTGAAAGTCCTTTATTTCATTGAATGACCACTTTTACCCTGAAGGATTATACTCAGTTTTTCTGGGTAGGCGATTTTAGGTTGTAGTCCTATCTCCTTTGCTGTCCAGAATATCACATTCCATGCCCTTCGGACCCTTAATGTAGAAGCTGCTAAATCTTGTGTTATCCTGATTGTGTTTCCACAATACTTGAATTATTACCTTCTGGCTGCTTATGATATTCTGTCCTTGACCTGGAAATTCTGGAATTTGGCTACAATATTCCTAGGAGTTTTCCTTTGAGGATCTCTTTCAGGAGGTGATAGGTGGATTCTTTCTATTTCTATTTTGCCCTCTGGTTCTAAAATATCAGGGCAGTTTTCCTTGATAATTTCTTGAAAGATGATGTCTAGGCTCTTTTTCTGATCATGGCTTTCAGATAGTCCAATAATTTTTAAATTCTCTCTCCTGGATCTCTTTTCCAGGTCAGTTGTTTTTCCAATGAGATATTTCACATTCTCTTCTATTTTTTCATTCCTTTGGATTAGTGTAACAATGCCTTGATTTCTCAAATTGTCACTAGCTTCCAATTTCTCCATTCTGATTTTTAAGGAAGTATTTTCTTCAGTAAGCTTTTGGACTTCCTTTTCCTTTTGGCCAATTTTGCTTTTCAGGGCATTCTTCTCCTCATTGGCTTTTTGGACCTCTTTTGCCATTTGGGGTAGGCTATTTTTTAAGGTCTTATTTTCTTCAGTATTTTTGGGGGTCTCCTTTAGCATCACTCTGTTTTTCCTCCACTTCTCTTACTTGCTTCTCAAAATCCTTTTTGAGCTCTTCCATGGCCTGGGACCAATTCATATTTTTCTTGGAGGCTTTGGATGTAGGAGCTTTGGCTTTGTTGTCTTCTTCTGGTTGTATGTTTTGATCTTCTTTGTCACCAAAGTAAGATAACATAGTCTGACTCTTTTTGCCCTGCTTGCTCATGATCTTGACCAGTTACTTGAGTTATAAACTCTTTGTTAAGGTAGGAATCTATTTCCACTGTGGTGAATGTACTGTCCCAAGCTTCAGGGGTTTTGTGCAGCTGTTTTCAGAGATACTTCTAGGGACCTGTAAATTTTCAGTTCTTCCAAGGTGGTATGATCAAGGGTAAGGTGTTTACTCCTTTCCTGGCCTGTGCTCTGGTCTATGAGCACTCTTTTTTGTCTTAGAACTGTGAAGAGGGTTTCCTCTCCACAGCCACTAACGAGCTCCACCATGCCAGCACTCCTCCTCACCCTAGGACCACTACCCAGAACTGTGACCCAGATCCAAGCACAGGCAAAGCAAGAGAATCCTGCACCAGCAGAGAGATCCCTGCAATTCCCCCTCTGATCAGCCACTGAATTCCCCCTCAGTCTGTGGTCCAGAAGCTCAGGAGGCAGCTGCTGCTCGAGGCCAAACTCGGGGAATGGGGCTGGGACCCCACCATCCTTCTCTCTCAGCACCACAGAAACAGACTTTTCCCACTGACCTTCTAAGTTGTCTTTGGTGTTTGTGGGTTGAGAAGTCTGGAAACTGCCACAGCTGCCCACCATTCAGTCCTCTGAGACCTGCTCCAGGGTCGCTGTGGCCTGTGCTCCCATATGTGATATACGTTTGTGATCAACCATCTAGGCTGTCTTAGACTGGAAATTTGTTTCACTTTGTCTTTTTGTGGGTTCTGCTGCTTTAGAATTTGTTTAGAGCCATTTTTATAGGTATTTGGAGGGGTTTGGGGGAGAGCTCAAGCAAGTCACTTCTTTCACTCCACTATCTTGACTCTGCCCCCTCTCTCCCATGCTTTTTAACATGATATTTTCAGCAAGGTTGTCAGAAACCTTCAATGAGGAAAAACCAGTGTGAAAGTCGGCTACCACACTGATGGTAAATTATTTAATTTGAAAATGCTACAAGCCAAGACTAGAGTAGAGGGAGAGTTGGTACATGATTTTTTTGTTTGCAAATGATTGTGCACTCAATACAACCTCTGAAACTGAGATGCAACAAAGTATGGATTTATTCTCTGCTGCTTGTGCTCATTTTGGCCTAACAATTTAACATCAAGAAAACACAAATTCTTCACCAGCCAGCACCACATCATCCATATGTGAAACCATCAGTTACAGCAAATGGAGAAATTTTGAATACTGTGGATAAATTCACTTACTTTGTTAGTATACTTTCTAGGGATATACACATAGATGATGAGCTTGATATACACGTGGCCAGAGTTAGTTCAATGTTTGGGAGGCTCCAAAGGGAAGTGTGGGAAAGAAGAGATATTAGACTCCTTATCAAACTGAAAGTCTACAGAGCTGTTGTGCTGACCTCATTGTTGCATGCCTGTAAAACCTGGACAGTCCATCAGTGCTGTGTTAGGAAACTAAATCACTTCCATTTCAATTGTGTTAGGAAGATTCTGCAGATCACCTGGAAGGATTACTCAGCAAGATAAGGTACCAGACACTGAGGTCCTTTCTCTAGCTAAAGTGCCAACCATTCAAACTCTACTGCAGAGAACAACTTAGAGGGGCTGGCCACTTTATTTGAACCCCAAATGTATGCTTGCCTAAAGCACTATTTTATGGAGAACTTATGCAATGCAGGTACTCACATGGTGGTCAGAAGAAGAGATAGAGGGACACTGAAGGTTTCTCTCAAGAACTTTGAATCCATTGTGTGATATGTGAGACACTTTACTCCAAATGATCATATGAACTATTTCTGCCTGACCTGTGGTAGGGCGTTCTAGCTTGTATTGGTCTGATCAATCACAGTTGGACACATTGTATCTTGACTCCAACATAGTGATGTCATTTTAGTCCTCTTTGGAAATGAAGGACAACAACCAGCCAATCATGTTGTTATGTTCTTTCCTTTCATTATTTGGAACTCAGGGTCATTTCTCCTGCTAATTTTGGTTAGCTAAAAATCTGACCTCTTCTGTTAATATTAACATTACTGATAAAACCTGACTCTTGATATAAGGGAAAATTGTTTGACATTCCTCAGATAGAAGCCAAAGAGGCACCAAAGTGATTTATATTTCCATATACATATGCACAATTCACAGAAGAGAGAAATAGAATATATAGTGGTTACTTTTAATATAAATAATTATTCACAATGTTTTTAGCTGGCTCATAGACACAGTTACCTATAATAATGACTATTTTTCTTGATTTCTCCTAACTTCTGGAATATAGTCCCACCAGTCATAGCTCAAGATTATAGCCAAGTGTCTCAACAATTTTTTTTATTATTTATTAGCAGTACAAAGGTTAAATTCAGTCCTCTCTATGCCTTTATCTCTGTCTTCTCAATTTCTTCCTAATTAACAGTTTTTCCAGAACAACTCAACTCCCTCTCTCTTCATAGACTACCTAGAAATCTATGTTAAGTTGTCACTGTTCAAAATTCTAAAGTTTTGTATTAGCAATAACAATGTAAGTAATTGTAATGACAGTTTCTGGTTATGAAAACTGAAATTACCTAATTATAGCCCTTGCTTTTTGGGGATTCTGACTAAATAACAATAACTGAAAAAGAGATGTATGAAAAATACTTTGTGTAGGTAGAAATTGAATCAACGAATATCTTTCTTTTTCTAATCCATGGGTGTTAGAGGGTTGTACTGAAAGTACATTCCATGGAGTATGTGTAGGAATGGTGGGAGGACCGTCATGTGGAACTAAATTGAGCTCCCTGGCTGCTTCTCATGACTTGAAGTTTAATTGAGTCATTCCCTGTAGAGCAGAGAATATGTCTTGGTCTTTTTGGTACACTTTTCCTTGCTAAATGAAGTGGGTGGCCAGAGACTCCCAATTTGTCCTCAGGTTGCTAGTCACTGAGGACTGTGCCAGCGACGATTAACCACTAACCCAGAATTGTTGAGGGGGAAAATGCAAAAGTCCCCATACTTCAGTGTTGATTCTGCTATAGTTTTAACTGTTTGGGAACATTAACTCGCCTTATAGGTTGTACGAGATCAGATATCTCACTGTACAGTGAAATTGCGACAGACTACTGGTCTCATGGAGTACTGCCTGGAAGTTATCAAGGAAAATGACCCCAGTGGCTTTTTGCAGGTGAGTGTGGACTTCTTTGGTTTTTAGTTTCTAAATGTCCCATGGGACTAGGTCTATGAATCCAAGTCTCATCCAATCCAATCCAAGAAATATATAGCATAACCCACTTTCACACTATCCCGTTTTGTGATTTTCTTTCAATGAAATTACCCAACTACCAGAAAATCATTGCCAGATGCTATCATTTGTAAAGAATGTTACATGGGGTAATACTTGCTGAGTTTCATTGAAAAGAGAAAAAAACACCTCCTAAGCCCATCGTACAGTCTTTTGGAATCATACCATTTCAGATACTGTAGGGACTTTAGAGGTCATCTAGTCTAACTTTTTCATTTTAGACATGAGGAAATGGAGGTAACAATAAAAGAATTGAATTGTGGCCCACAAGAAGAGGTAGATTTCTATTTAGAAGAATTGGTATCTTTTGTATCAATCAGTGCATCTAGCTAGAATGGTTTTATCAATGGAAAAAATCCAAATAACTATACATTATTTTACTTTCTCAGTGCCAACTTTTTGGCCAATCAGTAGATATTTGTTGGTTTGAGAAGTAATAATAGGAAAACAATTGAAGAGATAATATAATGGAAATATAAAATAGTGTTGGAAATAAGTAAATAGGCTTCAAGTCCCAGATTTAGAAGTTACTAGCTGTGTGACCCTTGGGAAGTTATTTAATTCCTGTTTCCTATTTAGAGGTAGCTAGGTGGCACAGTGGAAAAAGCACTGAGCCAGAAGTCTGCAATACCTGAGCTCAAATACAGCCTCAGACATTTACTGGTTTTGTGACTTTGGGCAAGACACTTGACCTTTGTTTGCCTTAGTTTCCTCAATTGTCAAATGGGGCAGTAATAGCAACTATCCTCCCAAGTTTGATGTGATCAAAGGAGATGATATTTGTAAAGTTCTTAGTATAGTGCCTGGTACATAGTAGGCACTTTATAAACACTTATTCCTTTCCCTTCCCCCTATGTTTCACTTTCCTTACTTATAAAAAGATAACAACTAATATTTGTGATATCTACTCCTGATCAAGGTCTTTGTGAGGAAAATACCTATAGAAAGAAGTTGTAATTATTAACAATTCACATTTACATCATGCTATTGCATTTTCCAAAACCCCTCACTTAATCCATCTACATTTATTACTATGTGTTAGCATTGTGTTAGAGACTGGAGATAGCGGAGGTAAAAGTGAAATAGTTTCTTGCCTCAAGGAGCTTACTTTCAGATGGAGGAGACATGATGTACATATAGAGTGCATACAAGATCCATATCAAGTGAACACAAGGTAACCTTGGAAAGGCACTAGCATCTGAGGGGATTTGGAAATATTTGCTATAGGAAGTTGAGCTTGAGATTAGTTTTGAAGGAAACTAGCTGTACCTATGCACAGTTATGGCAGACAGCCAATGCAAAGGCACAGATCCAGGAGATGGAGCATCATGTGTGGAAAAGAACATGTGCAAAAATATAAGAAAATATTATATATGTGTGTTTGTGTGTATATGTATATACACACAGTAAATACAAGGTAACTGACAAGAACACTAGCCATTTGGGGATCAGTAAAGCTCAAGGTAGCATTTGAGTTGAGCTTTGAAGCAATCTTGAGAGTTAGAAGTGGAAGTAAGGATGAAGTGCAGTAGAGGAACAGGAATGCACAGTAATACATAAGCGCATAAGAGAAGAACCTAAGAGAAGAACATAGAATTATGAGAGGTCTGAAGGTGAAGATCATTGCTGAATACCTCAGTCTATATTTTTCTGGGCCCAAAAAGGTGACTTCAAATCTAAGTGCTTTTTTTTTTTTTTGGTGAGGCAATTGGGGTTAAGTGATTTGCCCAGAGTCACATAGCTAGTTAGTGTTATGCATCTGAGGCTAGATCTGAACTTCCTGACTCCAGGGCCGGTGCTCTATCTACTGCATCACCTAGCCACCCCTGTCTAGGTGCTTCTACAAAAGAATGGTGGAAGAGGAATAGGACTTCTCTCTCCTCTGGTCTTTTATTCTCTCAAGGGAAGCCCCCTGATTATTGGAAATTCTTCCAATCTTTTCAAAATTGTTTCTTCTTTGATCACATTAATCTCAAAAGATATTATTACTGTTTTTAGATGAGTAAAATAAGGCTTAGGGAAATAAAGTGACTCCCCTGGTCACATGACTATCAGGTATCAGAGTTAAGTCTTGAAGCACTAAATTTATTTTTCTTCCCACTAGGCCAGTTAGATTCATGCCTTGATAATTTATTGGTCCCTATTTGAATATACTTTTATTTTTTTTTCTTTTAGTCAAGGCCAAATTTTAATGAAATATTTTAATTTTAAATTGATTGCACTTAAAGGGTCAGAGTCTTTTGGTTGCTAAGTATGTCATTTTCAAATAAAAATACTAAAATAAGAAACAGAGGAACAATAGAAAGTAAATGAACATGATATATAAGAAAAAGGAAAGCTCCACAATGAATACATAAAAGAGAAAGCATCTAGTAAGCTCTCTAGTAAGTAAGTGCTGGAAGAACCAGGCTAAGTTTGATGGATGCAAATACAAAAGCAGACACAATATCTTCAGCAGTTAGCAAGGTATGTAGCTCACAGTAAGCATTTAATGATGGCCTGTTGAATAAGTCCCTACCATCATTATTCAAAAAAGGGACTACATATGTAGTGTATGTGTGTGTGTGCACATACATATGTAAGAGTATTGGTCAGGGAAGATTATTTTGATTTAGAAAAGAATAGGAATGATGAGTAGAACGAGGTACAGGTACAAGTACAGGTACAAGAAATGTACAGGGAATGAGTGGAGGATGATGATGACATTGATTTGAATCATGGTCCCTTGACATGGCAAGGAATGTATATGTGCATGTCAGCAAGGCATTTGGTAATAAGATATCCAGAAAGAGAAATGAAGCACGGATAAAGCCAGGTCTGAATGTACTGGGTGATGGGAGGCAAATACCAATCAGGACAATGGGGACCAGGGCCAGATTCCAAGGAAATAAGCCTTCTAGTGTTTGGTTTCTGGTCTGTTAAATGATAATCACTTCACAGACTTTGTTTGCAAGATGCTAGAAATTATATTTTGCTGAATACAATTCATTCAGTATCTCTTGTAATTTTCTGATATCCCTCATTTTATTATTCTAAAGAGAGGGCAATGTCATTTCTTTATATAAAATGGAGACAAACTGGTCAATCACATAGGGTGGGTTACATCACCTGTTACAGTGGTGCTGGTTCCATTAAGACAGTAAGATCAGAAAGAACTGTGTAATCCAGCAACTAGTACTTTAGCATATACATCTTTTATATCAATAAAATTAGTTTGCACCAACCTTGCCTATGACTAAATGTAAATTTAGCTCTAAATATAGGGACATTTAGAAATGTGTCAAAAAAAAGTTTGGGGTTGGGTAAAGACCATTTCACCAACCTCAGTTTTTTCAAGGTAAGGATATAACTCATTTTGGAAACTATTCTATTTCCCAGTGTGGCATGAAATCTCTCACATTATCTTTAATATGATTAGATTTCCGATGCACTCATTAGAAGAGTGCACATGACTGAGGATCAATGGGGAAAAGGAACTCTTACGCCACGGATGACAACAGACTTTGATTTGAATCTAGACAACACACCTCTTCTGCAGTCCATCCACCAACTTGACTTTGTACAAATGAAACGTAAGTATTTATATCCAGATAAGTCAAAAAGTATCTTATGTGGATATTGTTGCTTATAAAATTGTGTTGAGGTCCAGAACCCCAAATACAAGTAATTGTTGGGAATATAAACATGCAGGTTAACTTAGTAGGCTACTTCATGTCCAGCCTTCTAAGAAGATTTGCATAGCGTCTGATTTTGTCATGTAATGAAGTTTTGCAGTTTTATATGTTTAATCTGGCTCTCTGGTACTCAGATAACTAACATATGTGACATTTTTTCCTCATCTCTAAAATGGTCTTTGGATTACATTCTTGATGGCTGATAGCACATTGCAACACAGTATTGCAAAACAGAAAATCTCTATAACACAACTGCCTATTCTTTGCAGAGACTAAAACTTGAACCCAGGGATAAAACATCAGTGTTGCACATTCATTAATGGAGAGAGATTTAGAAAATTGCCTTTGAGTGTGTAACATGGATGTTTCAGAGAAATGTAGTTCTAGGCTACGTTTGGCAAGGCATTTAAACAGCTTCTTTGAAAAATAAAAGGAAAAATATAGCTTAAATACAAAGTAAATTGACTCATAATAAACTTTGGGGGAGGAGATATTTGAGATAAGCCTGTGATTTCTAAACTTTATTATGACATATCCCTCTTCTATCCCCTCCTCTCAAATGTCACTCTCCTCCACTTGCTTTTCACAGAACAATCAATATAGAACATTTTCCTAGGTCATATTTTATTTGAGCAAGAGAAAACCAGGATGTTTTGCAGTAATGTAGAAATAATCTGGACTATGCACCAATATTGTCTTACAGTTTTGCAAAGAACCTTCTTTTTTGGACTCTGACATGATATGTTTAGAACAGTTTCTTCAAGTGTGGTCCACAGACCTTTGGAGGGTCCCTTAGACCTTTTTCAAGGGTCTATGAGGATAAGAATATTTTCAAAATAATTCCACAAATTTACTTGGCTATTAAAAAGCTCTTCCTTTTTTTCAACTACATATCTATATGAGAGCATATTTTCTTCATATACTTCAACCAAGATAGCATATTATGATAGGTTGTATTTAGCAGTAGTATGAGAACCTAGATGTCTTCTATTAAACCAGACATTAAAGAGTTATGTGAAGATATGTGAAATAATGTCATTCTCATTTTTTTTGTTTTGGAAACTACATATAGTTATCTTCATAAATAAGTTATTTATATTAACATGTAATAAGTTTGTTATCATCATTTTAAGGAATTAATAATTGTTTTATAATTTTATCAGTTTTAATTTCTAATATAGCAAATATCACTGAACATGGTTAAAAGAAAGTATAATGACACAAGGAACACTCTCACCATTCTGGGTCAATTTGCTGTTGCTACCTAGTTTACTTTTAAATTGTGGAGTATTCAATTGTTTGCTGATGTGTTTGCACTTAAGTAAAAAATGAAAATGTACTTTGACAATTAAAAAAGTCAAGATTACACTCATTTGTGTTTAGCTTCCTCTCCAGTGCCAGCAGCCCCTCTTCTACAGTTGGAAGATTGTTGCACACACAACAACAGTGCTACATTGTCATGGAAACAGCCACCTTTGTCAACAGTGATGGCAGAAGGATACATTCTGGAACTGGATGATGGAAATGGTGGCCAGTTCAGAGTGAGTAGAGACTCTACTTCGTTTATTTGGTTTTCTACTTGTATAGTATAAATTAAGGCAATCATAAGTTTTGAAAGTTATAAGTTTTGAAAATAATTGGGCAGTTATTGAGCAATATGGATTGGTGCTAAGAGTACTGGTCCTAGAATCAAAAGACCTGGATTTCAGATCATGGGGCATTGCTCTAATATATAGCCCTAGGCAAGTCATTTTACTTCTCTGAACATTTAACACCTCATCCATAAATGAGCATTATAATAATTTCATTATATTCTTTTTTTTGTGAGACAATTAAGGTTAAGTGACTTGCCCAGGGTCACACAGCTAGGAATTGTCAAGTGTTTGAGGCTGAATTTGAACTCAGGTCTTCCTGACTCCAGGGTCGGTGCTGGTCCATTGCACCACCTAGCTGTCCCCATTACATTCTTAAAAGGTTGTCAAAAGGCAAATAATTTGTAAACTTTAAAGTATATTAAAATGTCAATTTCTATTTTCATTTTTTAATGTACTAATCAAGGCTAAAGCCCAATGATCACTACTATTCTAGTGAAGAGTTTGGTGGATTATCTAGATTATGCATTGCCCCCTCTCATCTTCTCTGCTTCTCTACATCCTGAACATCACTTCAAACTAAACATGTTTAAGTTAGAAATTATCATCCTTGTCCTACCCTTAAATTCTTTCCAACTTCCTGTTTTCTATCAATTATTATTCCATTTAGAGTCAGAAACTCTAACGTATCTTCAAATCATTCTTCTCCTTAGGCCTGTATATCCAGTTACCAAGTGTTATCATTTCTCTTACACAATGTCCCTTGGATCTTCTATAATCTCACAAAAAAATAACTGTAATATTTTCCTAGCTGGTCTCCATGTGTTTAATCTTCTGTAGTCTATCCCACACACCACACGTTTTTGCTAGATTAATATTTTTAAAACAGAAATTTCATCGTACCACTTTTCTACTTTAAAACTTTCAATATTTTCCCATCATCTACATCTTCCACAACTCCTATATTATAAAATAAAATAAGCATTTAGCAAGCATTCACTTTGTGTCAGGTACTGTGCTAAGTACTAGAGACATAAATAAGAACAAGAAAGACAGTAACTGTCCCTCAAAGAACATACGACAATCTAAGCTTAAGGGGAAGACAAAGACCAAAGCAAGCTGAAGGGGCCGGTGCCAGAGCATACCCTGTGAGGGTGGAAAAAGTGAAAAGCGTGATAAAAATGATGGTTGAATCAAAACCAGGCAGAGCTGCTGGTGATAAATGAAGAGATGGCTGGGATTTTGAGTTCTTTATAAATCGAGACTGTGGGTGGGGTTTTTAACATTTCCCCCAGCCTTCTAATAAGAGAGACAGAAACAACTCAGGGCACTGATTAGATGTAAGAAGCAAAGCTAAAGCAATGTCCATGCTGATGAATTTCTCCTAGTGATGAGCTTATTCTGAGTGGGGAGTGATGAAAATGATGGTAGAGTCAAAACCAAGCAGAGCAGCTAGTGGCAAATGAAGAGATGTCTGAGATTTTGAACCCCTTATAAAAGAACATTATAGAATATATTTTTTATGACTACCTCTGAGTCTTCTGCTTTAGTGAGGCAGCTATGTGGCAAAGAGATAGAAGAGAGTAGGATAGAGCACTGGTCCTGGAGTCAGAAAGACCTAGGTTCAAATATAGCCTCAGATGCATACTAGCTATGTGATCCTAGGCAAGTGATTCTATTTGCCTCTGCTTCCTCAACTGTAAAATTGGGAGCATAACAGCATGTACCCCCCAGCACTGTTTTGAGGACCTAATGAGTTAATATCTGTAAAAGTACTTAGTACAGTGCTTAGTACAGCACATAGTAGGGGCTTAATAAGTGCTTATTCTCTCCCCCACCCCTTCCTTATCAAACTGACCTATTCACTGTTCCCATATATGTTTTGTTTCTTCCCATATCCATGCATTTGTTCATACTTTATCCCCACCTGGAACACTGCTTCTCATTATTTATTCTAGTTAAAAATTTAGACTCCACCTCTCCCAGATCACAATTCTGGACTCTTGTCAACTTGGCTATATCCTGGGGAGCTTGGCCTCCAAAAGGAGTCAGGCTCTTATATGCTTCTGGCTCATTACATTCTCATCCCACCCCACAGTAGAACTCTAAGGACAATTACTTAAACCAAACTTAGGTCTGGCTTACATCTAGGGTCTCCCCAAAAGAGAAAAAAACCAAGTTCCCTTCCAGAAAGGTACTTAATATAATAGGCAGATCATCTATAGGTGAAATAAGACAGTTATTAATTGCATTAACCATCAAATATTTTGAGAGATAGACTGGTACAATGGAAAACCTAAATTACCTCTTAGGTCCCTTCCAGCTCTTAACCTATATAGTCTTATGATCTTTGATAATGGTTTGTATCCAAGATATACAGGGAACTAACCAAAATATGTAATAACAAGACCCCTTCCCCAATGAATAAGTGTTCAAAGGTTATAAACAGTTATCAAAAGAAAAATTGCAATCTAGTAACAACTTTTAGAAAAAATGCTCCAAAGCCCTAATAATAAGAGAGATGAAAATCAAAATACCTCTGAGCTTTTATGTCATTCTCAACAAATTGGCAAAGATAGTAAAAATGAGAATAGTTAATGTTAGAAGGGTTGTAGAAAGATGATCCACACTGTTACTGGACATGTGAATCAACCCAAACTTTCTGGAAAACAGTCTTGAATTAAGCTTTTAAAAAAAAGATTAAAATATTCTTTGACCCAGAGATACTGCTGCTAGGCATATATTCTAAAAAAGTTGGAGATACAAAGAAAGGTCCTATATATGCCAAAACATGTATAGCAGGAGTTTTGTAACAGGAAAGAACTACAAAAAATAGTTGAAAATGATTGATGAATTACTTTAAAAATATATAGTAAATAAATATAACAAAATATTGCTATGCTATAAAAAAAGAAGAATCAAAATATTGAGAAGTGGGAAGGACCTTGGTGGTCATCTAATGCAACCCAACACAAAAAGAATCCTCCCCATAACATACCTGACAAGTAATCATCTAGTTTCTGATTGAACACCTCTAAGTAGGGATCACCCTACACCTCTCTAGGCAGCCCACTTGACTTTGTAATATCTCTAATTGTTAAGAAATTTTTCTTAACATCAAACCTAAATTTGCATCTTAGCAACTTCCACTCGTTGCTATTGGTTCTACCCACAAGTCAAATAAAACAAGCCTAGTCCCTCCTTCTCACAAAATTTTTCAAATAATTGTGTTTCTCTTGGAATCTCCCCTACTCCAGGCTAAGCATACCCAGTTTCTCTAATAGATATTTACACGACATGGACTCAAGTCCCTTCATCATCTGAACGATCTCCAGAATAATAAGTTGTGGTGTCACTTTAAAAACTAAACCATAGTGTCCCTACTGAACACAAAACTCCAAATAAGGTCTGACAAGGACAAAGTACAGTGGAATTGTTACTTTCCTATTCCTGGAAGTTATGCTTCTCTATGCCCAAGACTACATTTACTTTTTTGGCTGCCATATCAAATTGTTGGCTCATATTGAGTTTACAGTGAATGAAAAATTCCAGATCTTTTTCAAAACAGCTGTCTATGCCTCCCCCATCTTATACTTGTGAAGTTTGGTTTTTTGGTATCCAAGTGCAAGATTTTATATTTATCCTTATTTAACTGAATTTCATTAGATTCAGTCCAATACTCTAGACTGCCAAGATCTTTTTTTATATCCAAATTCTAAGATTCACTGTTATCTATCCTTCACAGCTTTGCATTATCTTAAAAAATGATGAGCTTACATACCATTTAGGATTGTATCCAAATCATTGATTAAAATGTTAAACTGAAAAAGGCCAATCACAGATACCTGGGGTACTCTACCAAAAACCTGACTCATTGATATTGTACAATTAACAACTAATCTGTGAGTATAGCCATCTAACAAGTTTGATTCCATGTAATTGTATTATTTCTCTAACTCACATTTGCCCACATTGTCTACAAAAATAACATAAGATATTTATCAAACCCTTTTCTAAAATCTAGATAAAGTGTTTCTACAGCACTTCCTTCATCTGCTCATTTAGTACATGCATAAAAAGGAAATGTTAATCTGGCAAGGTTTGTTCTTGATGAAGTCTATAATAGCTGCTTCCCTTTCTATATAGTTTCTTGCCATCTCTTTAATGATCTGTTTTATAATTTTTCCAGGAATTAAAGTCAAGCTCCCCAACTTAGTGTTTTCAAATTCTGTTCTTTCCTTTTTTGAAAAGTGGAGGGGCAGCTAGGTGGCACAGTGGATAGAGCACCGGCCTTGAAGTCAGGAGGACCTGAGTTCAATTCCGGCCTCAGACCAAATACTTGACACTTACTAGCTGTGTGACCTTGGGCAAGTCACTTAACCCCAAATGCCTAAAAAAAAAAAAAAGGAACAATGTTTGCTTTGCTGCAATCTTGTTGGATCTCTCCCATTTTCCAAAATCTTTCTAATATCACTTAGAGTGGCTGAGCCATCCCAAATTCCCAAGTCATTTTTGACTGAAGGATGCAGTTCTTTTTAGCCATGTGACTAATAGGCAGTTAGATGGGTTTTTTCCTTACTTTGTTATCCACTTCCCCTCAGTCATATTCTCACTATCACTTCAAGTATAAATGTCATTCTTCTTTGTAGAGAAATGAAAGTAAAAATTGAACATGTCTACCTTCTCCCTATTGTCATTTGTAATCAATTTGAGCAAACATCTCTTCTCCTTTTCCCCTTAATATAGTTAATAAATAACATTGTTTTTCTGACTTTCCCTTAAGAGCCTCAGCCCATTCTACGCTTTATTATTTCTTTACACTATTTTTACAGGACTATCCCACCCTCATAGTCATCCTGTGTTACTTGATCTTACAAGCATATTCTATAAATTTTCTATTTAAAATCTGAATTTGTAGTTAAATTCCCTATGCATTCACATTGCTTTATTTAAACAAATTTCACTGTATTCCTTATTAGAATTGTTTTACTTTGCATCTTCAGAACTCCATTCTTGTGCATCTTTCTTCTGCCCTGAGCAAACTTCCCTTAAATCATTTTAGTCCATATCTTTCCTCTCACCTCTTTGAAATCTGCTATCCCTAAATCTAGGATTTTTGATGGACTATGGTAGGGCTGTTCCTTCACCTATCACAAACTTTAGGATAAAGTGGTCATTTCTCCCAAGAATCCCATAATTCTCATCTCAGCAACCCTTTGACTAAGAATTTGATCCAGAATAGAATTTCTCTTTGTTGATTCTTCCATCTTTTGATGGTTGGAATTATCTAAATTATGTCAAGAAATTATTGCTGCTCTATGCCAAATAGAGAGGGATCTAGCTGATGTCTGGATAATTGATGACCCCTGTTTCTACTATATCATGCCTTTGGGTCAAGCTTGAGATCTGTTTCCCAATCTCCCTTTCTATTTCCTCTTTCTGAGTTTGGGATATTTCAACCCTAACAAGCTTTTGAAAAAAATGCAATGTAAGATGTGGAGGGAGGAATTACTCAGTTGCTGTAGTGTGCACAGATGACCAATAATATATTAATAAGTGTAAACTTCTTTTTTTCCTTTTATAAATGTTTACAATATGACACATCTCTGACTTAATGAAAAATAATTGATCATGCCTTGATATGATTCTTAAAATTTAACAATTTGAGAGTTTGTTGGTTCAAGAGAGTCAGCAATCAAGGAAGAACCCAACTCTTTGCCACTTGGAAGAGGGGGAGAAGAGAATTTCTTCCCCTCCTTTCTACTTCTTGGTGTCAAACAGTGGAGTTACTACCCTAGAAGAATTTCATGTAGATATTGGAAAATAGCAAAGCTGCCAGAAGCAGTTTTAAGGAGCATCACCTCTAATAGTAGAGAAGAGAATCAGATAAAGACATAAAAGAAAGCTAGTCCCAGTAATTGAGTTGAGCTGCAGAGTGGACTCCATAGGAAAAAAAAATTATTTCTAGAGCTTGTAGGGCTCTATATATGAATTTCCTTAACCATATGTCTTCCCTTCACATGTGCTTTATTTCCATTGTACTCACTTTATGCCCATTCCTCCCAAGGACACTGTGAAACCAAGATGTTGTCGTTGGGGTGTTTTTGTGGCCACTATATTTATTGTTACACCTTAGGAAATGTCTTTGATGTGAACTAATTGTATCTATTGGGTGATAATGGGAAGCATTATTGGATGATAATGGAAACCCCAGTGGGGGTCCCTGAGACATAGACACAAGAGTTTAAACTCATGGGGTATTTTAGAATAGTAGAAGCTCTTGTGCTCTGGGAACTCATGTTATGACTATGAATATCAAGGTGAAAGAGTACCTCAGAGGGGATGCTAAGTAACACACTAAGATTTGATGGACATAAAATCTAACAAGAATTACAAACCAGAAGCAATATATGAAATTCATTATAAATTACACAAATATTATAAAATGGATTAGGAAACAACACAACAATTCATTGATTACAAGAATCATTCAAAGACACCAAAAAATTAAAGGGATCACTGTGATTTATCATACTTTACTCCAATGAAAAAAGCACAAATCGTGACCATGATTTGGAGTAAGATAATTTAATAAATAATGTCAAGAGAGAAAAACAGGCAAATTAGGTTCTCTTTATGTGGAATTAGTTGTCAAGCCTGATTGATGCTTTCTCAATAACATCTCTCATATCTGTCTTCTGTTCTCTACTCACAAAGCCTCTGTAATAGGTCAGGCTCTGATTACTTCTTGCCTAGACTATTGTCATAGTTGTCTATGGGGTATTCAAGGAGGACTAGCACCTTGAGGGCTTGCTGAACCCTTTTCAAGGTTGCTCATCCACCATTGGTGTCAACCTGGCACACAACTCTCAGCAGTGACTCCAAGAAACTGTAGCATGTGCAGTGGCTACAACCCTGATAAAACTGTCTTGGCAGATGGGCTAAATCAGGTGGAGGGTAACCAACAGGCCTCAAACCCATCAATTAATTAGGGGATGTCTACCCCAAGTATATGAAGATTTCTGTGGCAAAATGGGTGCATAAGAACAACTTGTTCCATTGGCCATGTAGGAGGCTAAAGCAGGTACTGTGGAGCACTTAGACCTTGGTCAGATTAATAAAATGCCAAAGTCATCTCCTGGGCCATCTTGACTTTTTTCCTGACATTGGACTTCAATGAGTAAGGCAGATGACTTTGTGCCACTCTGACTTACTTAAATCCAGTTCATGCACCCATCAAGACATCATCCCATGATGTCATTGGTTCTTTTAAAAAATGAAAGATAAACAACAATAGCTTCACAATTGGTCTTACTGACTCCAGTCTCTCCCTTTCTTCTTCTAAGCTCCAAAGTGATTTTCCTATAATACAGACCTGGCCACATCACTCTCCCTATTGGAAAAAATCATTAGTTCCCTATTGCCTCTAGGATAAAATAATACAAATTCTTAAAATCCTCCTTAGTCTTATTTTATAAGACCCTTAAAATACTCCCTGTTCCATTTTTGACATTGTAGTCCCAGAGTTTAGCACTTAATACACACTTAGTAAATGTTTGTTGAGTTGAATTGATGGTAAAGTAGATAATGAAAAACATCACTATTAAATATAAGTATATCACCTAGCATAGTAATTCTATTAAAATCTGTAACTCCCTTTTGTTTGGTCAGATTAGTAGGAGACTAACATTCCTTTTTCTGAAGAACTTGATGAAATAAAAGGGAAGAATATTGGGGAAACAATTTGCTAGAAATATGGTGATTGTTAATTAGGAATCTTAGAGAATATGTCTATGTTTTATAATCTTAGAGTACCTTTACAAATATTGTCATGTTCTAGGGTATATAGGAGTCATAGATAATGCAGAAAGATAGAAATATTAAACATCATTCAGAGATCAAATACAAGAAAATTGTAATTAAAAATATGAAAAAAAGATGTAGACCCCAAAGGATATCAAATAATCATATCCCAAACAAATGAATGTGTATCATATAAACACTGAAAATTATGTTAAAGAGAACGACAACATTGGGACAACATGCCTAATTTTGCTAGAAGTAGCTAGAGCTTTCTTTGGTAGTTTTTCTCCAGGAAATAATTCACAAGATTAGCCCTAAATTTAGAATTTCCCAGTTCCTGCTCATTGAAATTTATGTACTATAACTATGGCTTTTCCCTCATTTTTGGACTATATAGGATATAATTATTCACTTTTTGGTCACTCAACAAACACTTATGCTTAATGCTTACTATATGCTGAGAACTATGCTAAGCATTGGGGAAGATAACAAAGTTTATTAAATATTCCCTTCCCTCTTGCAGTTTATAGTCTTCAAGGGGATAAGGTAAAAGCTCCTAACAATAAATCAGAATATTACATGATAAATACTTCAGAGAAATGAAAAACAGTATTTTAAGATATCTGAAAGGATAAGTTGTAACTAATAACCAGGGCAGATCACTAGAGGGTTTATAAAGTAGGTTATATGAGTTGTTGTTTTTTTAAATTAATTCATTAATTTTTAGTTTTCAACATTCACTTTTATGAGATTTTGAGTTCCAAATTTTTCCTCTCCCTCCCCAAGAGAGCATGTAATTTGATATAGACTATACATGTACAATCAAATTAAACATATTTCCATGTCAGTCATGTGAAAGAAGAATTAGAACAAAAGGAAACAAAAACAAGAAAGAAAAAAGAAAGAAAGTGGTATGCTTTGATCTGCATTCAGACTCCATAGTTCTTTCTCTGGATATGAATAGCTTTTCCCATCATGAGTCTTTTGGAATTGTCTTAGATCATTGCATTGCTGAAAAAAGCTAAGTTTATCATAATTGATCTTTGCACAGTGTTGCTGTTACTGTGTACAATGTTCTCCTGTTCTGCTGAGTTGGATTTTAAAGGATGAATAGTCTTTCAACAGTGGGAAGCTGTGGTTAAGAGGAAGGGAGTACAGTACAAACATAGCGAAGTGTGCATAAAAATTCAGAGGTGGGAAAATACAAGATTTATTCTGAGGACGGTGAGTTATTCAGTTTGGCTAGACAAAAGAAAGCATGATGGGAAGGAGAACTCTGGCAAGGTAAAGTTTTTAAAAATTAACATGCTTTATCTGGAAGGTATGTTCAGGACCAGTGGGTTTCTAGAAACATCCAACTGTATGTTGAAAATATTTTTACCTTTTACACAGTTTAATTGTTTTGGCAAATGTCTTCCTATTCTATTCTGTCAGAAGTCATTACTATTCTTTGATGACATGCCGAGCTCTCTGTCATCACTGTATTAGGCAAGAATATCTTTCAGAAGACATTGAGTCCTATTTCTTGACATCTTACTAAATATCACTCATGGCAATTATATTTGTGTAATGTAAACCTTCCCTTCCTATTGAAACAGTGCCATGTCCTTAATATGCAAGAGGTATAGTGTTATTCAAAAGAGATGTTACAAAACTTTCAAATAAAATAATAGTAATAGTCTTACCCTGCCATCATAAATCTCATTTAAACACCTCAAAACTCTTATCCTAAAAATGTAGATATTAAAATGTGGTATTTCCTTTTTTTTTTTTAATCAGGAGGTGTATGTTGGAAAGGAAACAATGTGCACAGTGGACGGTCTTCACTTCAACAGCACATACAGTGCTCGAGTCAAGGCCTTTAACAAAACAGGCGTCAGCCAATACAGCAAGACCTTGGTCCTTCAGACATCTGAGGGTAAGGCACTTCAGCAGTACCCTTCAGAACAAGAACTGTATAGCATCTAAAATAACTGGCAAAGCCCACAACCAAACACTACCATTGCCCACATTACTAAAGGTTTTTTTTAGCTTAACATATATATTTTGTCACAAAGTTGTTACTTTTCTCCTACTTTGAATAAATATGTGAAATTAAAATGTGAAAATCTGCTGCCCAAAGTTTGCATTTAAACAATTCCAATCAGTTTTAAAAGTTAAATATAGAGATAGATAGAGAGAAAGAGATGATAGATATAGGGATAGATATTTTCAGCAAACTCTACATTAATACCCTAAAGAAATGGTTTTTCAGATGTGGTCCTCTCATCATTAGACTTTGGAACAAGGTCTCGTTCCCAAAAGATAAGCACTATTTCTAAATTTTGTTCAGATGTTTTTAAATATCTTTGTAGTTCCTGCTATTTCCTTAACACAGTCCACAGAATATTTTCAACAATGTTATGGGGGTGGGGGGCTTTTGTTGTTTTTGTTGTTGTTGTTATTGTTGTTGTTTGTTTTTTGCTCAATGGACTCTAGGTAAAAGCATGCCTTTGTTTGAACATGGCATTCAGGAAGAGTTTATATTCTATGTAGCAGCACTAGAATGTTCCACTTTCTCATGCAAAGCTAATCACATTCACATGGGGAATGAAATTACTTGGATGTACCACATAGAAAGAGAAGAGTGAGGCTATATTACCTCATCATCTCCATCTTTGTCTACCTGTTTGATTTAAGGTTATATAGCACTATTTCAAATCCAGGAAACATTCTCCTCTTTCTTGTATAGTTCACACCACACATTGTATCAGGCTCAGAAAACAATCTTGAACCTGGTGGCCAGTCCTAGTATCTTAAGTGTTTTGTTATATATTTTATATTAAAAGCATGTAATGAACCTCATGTGAAGGTTTAGAAACTGCCATCAGTGTCAAAGCATTTTTTTCGAACCATCCAAATGAAGTTTTACCCTAAAGAAGTAGTATCACTTTAGCCTTCATGTCTGCCTTTTTTATGTTTTCCAGAGCATTTTTTCTCAATTTTATTTTGTAATGTATGGTCCTGGAACACTGAGAAGTATGTTTATAAGAATAAGCCTATAATGTGTTCTAAAGATGCTTATTTAGTAGGGAAAAACTGCAAATATCATGCAAATTGTGTTGATGTTTAGAAATACTTTGGGCCACATTTTCATAATTTCTACATGGATAAAGTTGCCATTTTGGAAACATAGTCTTCTCTCTTAGCAGAGTCATTAATTTCAGTCAGTAAATGCTTTTATTCTTAAAGAGACATATTAATGTTTTGTCTGACTCTTTACAATTCTGAAAGAGGTTGTTCTAACTACCCTTTGAAAGAATCTCAAAACAGCTGCCTTAATTTCTATGTCTTTAAACCAACTGAATAGTGATGAGTAAAAAGACAAATGATGGAAAGAATTTACAATGAGGCTGCTATTACATATTAGACTTCTTGGAAAATTATTTCTATTCATCATAAAATATGGCCCAAAAGTCCACCAGAAATATAAAAATTTTATTAATATGACAGATGGAACACTTAAGATTCCCTTTTCAGAATACAATATCAAGAAGCAAATATTAAATTTATTTTAATAATAATTATAATGTGTCTAATTCTGTATATTTCAATATTAAAATTATGTACCATAGTAACAGATAGAGGGCTGCTTTCCATGAGATATCTAATGAAGTGAAGGAACTGTAAAGTAAAATAAATGTCCTGAATTTTAAACTTGCACGATATCTATAACTATAGCAATACAAAGAAAATTCTATAATCATATAGCTATTGCTCCACATAAGTCATATTTCCTATAATAAAATAAAATTCACATGTATACTTTCATGAGAATCTTGGTCTGTTCTGTGTCTTTTTCCCTTTTCCTCTCCCCATAGTAACATTCACAGTAAGGTAAGTTATAACTATAAAAACCATTTTTTAAACTTCAGAAAAATTCCAGTTGAATTTTTCAAAACCCCATTACAATTAGGTTTGGGGAAGATAACATGAGTCCTTGACACGTGGAGCTTGTAGTTTTACTGAGGGGAAAGAAACAAATATAGATAACTATAACATATAATATTACATAAGAGGTATAACATAGAAGTTCAATGCCAAATGCTATGTGATATCCATGTCATTAATAATGGAGAAAAGGTGTCAGAGAAGACTCCATGGAATAGATAGCAATTAATTTCAGCTTTAAGGAGTAGGTAGCAAGTAATGATAACAAATACCATGAATAAAGGCACCCAAGTAAAAAGTACAAGGATTGTTTAGGGGACAGAGAATTAGTCAAGCTTGGGCATGGAATGCAGTGCATGAAGGGGAATGATATGAGATATGACTGGAAAGGCAAGACAGGAGGAGGTTACATCATATTGTGAAGGATCTTGAATCCCAAGGAAAGGAATTTAAGTTTACTTGGAGAACCACTTAAGATATTTATAAGAGGAATGATATGGCTATATCTATTGTATGTATAAAGATGTGTATAGAGAATAGTGAATGGAAAGAAACAGGAGAGATTTGGAAGTGGGAACCAATTAGTTTATTGCAATAAATTGTAATTGCAATAGTACAGGTGAACCTTAATGAAGGGCTTTAATCAGTAAGACTAAGGAGTAGTAAGACTACTACTAGGGAAGTGAGACTTAGGGGATAAGGATGGCTTTGAGTCATATTGTCAATGTGGAATTGAGGCTACTTGGTAAATAATTAGACAAAAGACTTGATAAAATAAATTGCTATAAAAGTAAAAGCCAACAAAGCTGTTTTTTTAAATGTTGCTTTTTAGAGGCAATGAAGAAAAATCTATTAGATGAGACTTGCTATTTTAATTATGTTCCATAATTTTATTAGTTTTCTTATATCTTGTTAGTTTTTTGTGAGTTTCTTTTTTGTTGTAGGTTATAAGCATATGAATGTGTGCCACATGTATATGTTATCTTGTAAATTCCTATGAAGAGATAATCCATTTCCAAATTGACAATGTTTAAATTATAAATATTGCTTATAGTAAGTCTAAATTTTATTTACAGCCATTTAAAATGAATTTTAATCACTTATCATCACTGCTCTACAATGTCACAACAACAGCATAATAATAATAACCAGCATTTATATAGTACTTACTACTTGTCAAGCCTTGTGCTAAACACTTTATAATTATTATCTCATTTAATGTTCACAACAACTATAGGAGGTTGGTACTATTATTAACCTCATGTTACAGATGATAAAACTGAGGCAAATAGAAATTAAGTGACTTACCACAGTTACACAGCTAGTCAATGTCTGAGACCAGATTTGAATTTGTCTTCATGACTCCAGACACTGTGTTCTATGCATTAGTGCTACCCTCTGCCTAGACAAAAAATTGTAGGTAGAATTGGGGTTACTACCCATGCAGTGAGAGACTAAGTAGCCAGATACCAAAGAATATGTCAAAATAATCATGAATTCTGGTTTTTTGAAGGCAAAACAAGTAAGGTTTTGTTTGTTGTAAGTTATTATAAAGGCTAAAAGTATTCATGTTTATATTTCTAATCCTTACTATTTTCTTTCTTGTAGTTTTTTTTTTTAATGTGCCTACCTGAGCCTGTATTCAAGATATTATTTTTAGTAGCTTCCTACTTTGGTTATCTGAAAAAGAAACACATGAAAATAATTCTAATTTTACATAGAGATCATTTTATGTTAACATTTAGTAAAATATACACTGACATCTTCATTTTTCATTTACAAAAGTTCTATTTTCAGGTTCCCTAAAAGATTTTATAAGTATTAGGTAAGCTGTTGGTAGTAAATGTTTATCAGCATAGGCCAAGAAATGAAAAAGAATCTTCAAGGTCATGTGAATAGAAAAATGGTAGAATAGTAACTTTCCCCAAAAACCACTTCAGCTTTTCACATAAAAGAGAATTATAAACCACTTTTGAGTTATTACGGCTAAATCTAAAAAAGAAGCAGACAAATTCATGAAAATATAAAATTATTCTTAAATTACCACTTGAGAACATTAATACTTAGTGTCCTCACTCAAAAGCACCCCCCCCAAGCTGCCTCCATTCACTCCTGAAGGAAGTAGAAAAAAAACTTATAGGCTTGTAGAGGATATATGTCAGTGACTCTTCATGAACCACCCCCCCCAATCTCATGAAAAACAGACTCTAGCCATATGAAAAAAGAGAGCAGAGGAAAGAACCAGTCTGAGTACCTGTGGCAGTTGTATCAAAGTTGAAGGAGAGTGAACTAAAACCCAACTAGGACCAATTTTGTCCTGCCAGAAAGTTGTTATTGTTGTTCTCGACAAGGACCACGATATCAGGGAGACGATGACATGACTTAAAATTGACTTTCATTTGAGTGAGGGAGGGCTGTGCAAAGTCACCAGCCTGACTTTCTCCTCCAGAGCCATCTGGGTCCAGTGGCCAAATATTCATCAGGACAACTGGAGATGACCCAGGATGCAGTGGGAGACCTTGGCCCTTTTAAGCTAAGGTCTTTCCAGGTTCTCACTTTGTGTGAGGTAATGCCCATTCAGTGAATAGGCCTCTTTAAGAAATGAGTCAAGGGATGGATGGCCCCTTTAATAAAAAAAGAATCAAACTGGGAGGGGAAGATTCTCAGGGTTGCTGGCCAAGAGAGAAACAGTTACTATTTGTGTTTGTCCTTCAGTTCTTGAAGAGGATCATGACATCAGGGAGATGATGACATGACTTGCAATTGACTTGGATTTGAGTGAAGGAAAGCTGTGCAAGGTCACCAGCTTTCTCCTCCAGAGCCATCTGGGTCCAGACAGGGACCTACATCTGACATAGATTATATTCCTGAAGGGAAAAAAGGCTGTTGGGCTAGCAGCTAAGTCTCTGGAATCTATCTATAAGCAAAGGGGGAAGGGGCATGAAAGAGAATGACTCGACACGTAAGGAAATAAATAAACAAAAAGGA